GAAAAAGAAACCTGATAGGTGATGGCAGCGCTGAGCCAGCTCCTGATGTTCTCAATGATCTCCTCCATATTGCTCAAATCAAACCCACCAACCTGATCAATTGAGTTCTTCAATTCATCAATGGCATAGTCCATAATCTCATCACAAATGCTAAGCGCCTGTCTTGTACCAGGATCCTTCTCCACTTCCTTGAGCAGAGCTGATTGCCCCGCCACCTTCTTAACCTTTTCCAAAGCAACCTCAAAAGAGAGCTTAACCAGCTCTTTTGGGTCAGTTGTATTGGACCCAGCCACACTAGTCAGGCTAGACACACAGGCCTCCTTATAATCAGTGGGTTGGCAAATGGTTTTGATGGCCTTCATTGAGTCTTGAACGTGGTTATCCGAGCCTGATTCACTAGAGCCTGAACCACTGTGGTGTGATACGCCGACTGCAACGGCCACGACCATGGCCACAAGGATTATAGAGGAGACCCCAATGATGGCGAGCCTCTTCTTTTTTTGGCCATCTCGACCCTGCTCTCCTGTTACCTGGCCGTAGCCTCTAAAGGATTGCATGGCTAAGATCTCTAAGATCTTGCCTTCCTCTCTCCGGAAACGGTTGTTATCCGGGGAGAGTTCGGTTTCAGCTTAAGTAAATGCCAAATGCCACTGAAGAAGGAGAGGTGCAACTCTATATATATATAGGAGGAGACATAAAGAAGAGAGAGAGAGAGAGAAAGACCCAGATTTTGAGAGATGGGCATTCTTTTGGTGGGGAGGTTCAAGGCTTTAAAAGAAGAAGAAGAGAGAAGGGGAACGTAGAAAGAGGGTTTAAGGGCTCTTTTAGGGCAAAAGGTCCATTATGTGAGGGGAGCCACTAAGAATTAGGGTAAGGGCCTAAGGGGTTGGCCCGTGTTGCTCGGTAGAGAGGGAAAACGTGTAAGCTTGGAGGTGGATGGTAACGAGTTGTAGGCGAGGTTGCCAAGTATAGAGCATGGAGTTAGAGAGAGAAAATGTAGAGCGAGAAAGTAGGAGGCAGACGTTTCGCTTGTTAGCGGTCTGAATTAGTCGCTGTTTCTCACTTGGGGCAAAGAGTAATCAAGGAAGAAATCCATGCAACGTTGTTGTGACTTTCACCCTCCATTGAATAGAGACGATTATAGGGACTGGCCCGGACCCACTTTGCTTTTTTTTTACTTGGGCTTTGGATAATCAAGGATAACAATGGCAGCCCCATGTTTTTTAAAGAAAAGTCTACAAAAAAACACTATCCCTTTTTTTCTTTTTCTTTTTTTTTTTTGTGAAAAGAGGTTACAATCATACATTCATTCGGTTATATTCAAAATGAGATGATTGTAAGAGTGTCGTTCATTAGTCTTAAAGTTAAAAATTTAAAAAAATTGAACTTTGTGACACACCACAAGCTATTTAATTTGACATCTAATGACTAGAAGTGACTGTGAACTCCTTATAATAAAGATAAGGATGCGGTTAGCATGCGGCCAACGCATATTCTAGATATGCGAGATTGGTAATAAATATATTTTTTAAATATAATTTGATTCTAATTTTTAGAGAGTATATAATCTTTAACATGGATATCATTAATATGAAAATAATAATAATAATAATAATAAGTAGAAATAATAATTATATTAAAAAAACATTTGAACTACTAGTTACAATTGTTTTTAGATGAACCACCTATTGCATCCATTTTTAAGGTGGTGCTTTATACCTGTGGACAACATATTGTTAAAAAGCAGTCCAGCCCACATGAAACATTTGTTCTAAAGATAAATGGTCTCATAGTATGCAATACCTTTTTAAAATGGAAAACCTCATAACAAATGTCTCCTCCTTTGTATAATTATGGGCAAAGGAAAAACTAGACCATTTACTTTAGTACAAGGATGTCACAATTATTTTTAACTATCTAATGTGAAATTTGATAGCCTATATGTGTCACAAAATTCGAAAAAATTTCTTTTCAACTTTGAACTTGGTCAATGAAATAAATACAGCTACCCAATTTCGCATCCAATGGTCAAGACTAATTGCGACCACCTTATACCAAAGCCAAATGGTCTCATTATATACCTTCCTTATCAATATGGTAAATATGAGCTGGTCTAAATTTATCAATGACTTATGCGGAGTACACCCATCCAATATTTGCAACGTCGAACTAATGCTTTTCTTAAAAGTACCCCACAATCGTTTTATTTTTTCCAATTTGCCTTTCAAGTCGATATTCCAATTATTAGATTGGTTTTTATTTTAGCTTTAAAATTTATTTAAATTATAATAAAATTCCCTCCCCAGGGAGCAATCCAATGTCACAAACTTTGAACCACAGGGTATCCTCATGCATGCAAATGCATGGTGGAGATAGAGAGATAACATAATAGGATGTCATTTCTATATGGCCTAGGCTTTCTGAAATAAAATAAAGCTTCACCTCAAATCGTCGTCCAAAAAGCACTTTGGGCTTCATAAATCTTTATAATAGCTCGAAAATCACTTTCCAACACCAACCTGATGTTTAGAAGCTCAAAAAAAGGTACCGATCTTGCAAATATATGAATATTATTTTTAAGGAAAAATGGACGGTCTAGATATTGTTAGAAAATATACACTATTTAAGGGCTTCATATCCTAATTTTATTCACAACTATAATGGCCATGACCGAGATGGTGAAAGTTTTTTGCTAGAATTTCAATTTTTATTAAATTTTGAAGTTAGGCTTTACTAATAATGTTGCAGCGTTATCAGAACAATTTCCAGAGCGAGAATACGTTGGATGGAAGTTTTGGACTGCTTCGCCTTATATTTTTAGAGGCAAGTCTTGCGGTCCGAGAGATTACTAACCTTGGATCCAGGGGTAAAATAAAATAAATGCAGGGAGGATCCAAATCTTGGACCGGGTCCTGCATTTCAAAATAAAAAATAAAATAAAATAAAAAAAGAAAGGAAAAATTATGTGAGGACCGGTTTTCTTCCATTTTATTATAGTCTCGTCCATATTTTCTTTAAAATTACAAGGAGACCATCCCATGTCTGCTTCTTCTTTTTTTCATCTAGTTTTTTTGGCATCTCCAACACTTTTTTTTTCCTTTTCAAGGTGGGAAATTCAAATCCTTATTTTAGTTTAGTGGGATTCAAAATAAATGTGCTTTATCTTGATTTTCAATTTTTTTTTCTCCACTGGGTTATGATTTCTTTTTAGTATATCACAATTTATTTAGGTCGCATTGTATCTCTAAATATCAAGATTGGGGGTTATCCAACATTTTTATTTTCTAAATATCTCAAAACTCAAGCTAGGCTAATACCTCCTAAAATTGTACTTCTTTCCTATGTAACATTTTTGGTCTTTCAAATTTTGAAATTGTGCTTCTTTCCCCAAAATGATGCAATGACATTCATTCTCCAAAATGATACAGTGACGTTCATTCCCTAAAAATTTGATAAATGACATTCATGCCTCAAAAAATTTGATACAAATAGCATTCATTCCCCAAATATAAAAATACAATGACATTCATGTCAGAAAATACAATGAGATTGATTCCTGAAAAATTTTGTATCAAATGACATTCCCAAAATGAAAATTCGATACAACATTAAGAACCTCTGATTTCCTAATGGCCTATTGGTATTCTACAGGTCCTCCTATTATGGCCAACTATGTTGTATCGCTGACACTTCAATGCTTTGGCAGAATGTTCAAATTCAAATTTTTCCGTTGCTTCTTCGGCCTCCTAAGAAGGCATGTTGTCCTTGGTGGTAACACTATCCTATTAAGCATATCAGTCAACTCCATATTATTCGGGACAGGCCTAAACGGCGTTTGAAATGCCCTTTTGAAGTATTCCACTATAAAATACCAATTGCATAACATTGTGACATCCATGTGCATGTAGTTAATAGCCACAAGGGCATGACTACATGGTATGTGATTGATTTGCCATTTCCTACAAGTACATGTCTATTGAGTTAAATCAACAATGATGCATGTTCATTGAGTTAAATCGATAATGAACTTCTCCCTTGCATAGTGAATCTCGAACCACAATTCCATGGCCGATATAACTGTGTGTAAAAATCTTGCCTTATTCTTTCTTATGAGGAGTAATTCTTGGGCTTTCAGTACTTAGACGCCGATCCAAATATTAGCTAACTCCCTCTTCTCTTCAAACCTACATATCAACAAATAGGGAGGGTTCATCTGCAAGGAATAGGTACATATATAATTTATATTTTCATATCTAATTTACATTAATTGAATTGTCCATGTGCATAAATATTTGTGATTTGCATAGCTCAACTTATTGTAGTCTATCTTTTGTTAACAATCGGTCTAATGCATATTTTCCGTATCACTTAGAGCGCAAGCAAGTGCTTCCCAACCAACTTGAAAACGAGCCTGAGCTTGTACTAGAACGTGATATGGATGATATTGAATCGATTGAGAGCCCATGTAGAGGAATTGGCAAATAGATTATTTTGAAAATTGACCGATATTTTAAAAATATTCATAAAATGTTAACATCATCTGGTTGATTTTGTGGTCCCCAATAATTTTGTTTTGAAGTTTTTCAAAAGCGAGGAGGGACAGTTTGGGCAAGTTGTAAGACAGATGGATGTGCTTAGCAAGTGTGATGCTTAAGGGTTGGCAGTATGACATACTACAGAGTGAAGTCTATGGTTAAGGAGCACATATATAGTGGTCCAATGTGGAGGGTTCATCTGCCACTTGCTCGTGGTGATTGAGTGGCAGAAAAGATTAGATCTCGCATTCATAACCAGCCTAAGATTATAATGAAATACATTATAAATGACGTCTAGTGTGTTTACGGCATCAGGCTTTCCTACGTGCAAGCTTGGAGGAGCAAAGAGGTTGCTAGGGAGATGGTAGATGAATCACATTACCAACAATACAATGACCTCCCATTATATATGGAGATGCTCTGAAGAACCAACCCCAGAACTGAAGTTCACATCTATCACAGATAATGAAGATAGATTCAAACAATTATTTATTGCCTTTTATCCCTATATCATGGGTGTTGTTAATGGATACAGGCCAGTAATGAGTATCGATGAGACATTCTTAAAAGGAAAATATCTAGGAATATTGTTATCCGACATTGCCATAGATGTAAATGATGACATCTTCCTAAAAGCATTTACAGTGGTCGAGTAGAAGAGTAAAGTTGATATGTAGGTTTGAAGAGAAGAGGGAGTTAGCTAACTCCCTCTTCTCTTCAAACCTACATATGTCAAAAGACCCTTATATCAAAATACTAGTTGCATTCTTTCCTTAACCATTATCGATGCTACTGTATTAAATGAATACCAAAATTTAAGTTACAAAGAAGAAATAAAATGGGATATATATAATACATAAGTAAACATTCATTGAGGGTTCATAAAATATGAGTTTCATATAATAGATTTGGCAAGTTGACCTTGCCTATGGGGCAAGACTAAGTAATACAATATACTAGTAGATCAATCTAATATTAAAAGTAAATCAACTATTCAATCCAATATTTATCCAAAAAATATCCACTTCAAAGATAAATAAGAACTATCAATACAAACACAAAATATTGCGTAAATTCAATCAAATTTAATCAATAGATAAAATAAGGCAAGAGCAAAAAATGTACCAATCGCGACGAGACAGAGACAAAATACACTCAAGTCGTGGGTTAGAGAGAGAGAGACTTTGAGAGGGTGAGTGGTAGAGTAGGAGAGAGAGACAAACGTTGTGAGAAACCTAAAAAAGATAGACGAATGCTTGTAGGATAGTGTTATTTCGTAGGTTATTTTAATGCAAAAGGTTCCAGATATTTAAAAATAAAAAAAGCTTATTTTTCAATTTTTGAAAAACTGAAAACAATAAATTCTTATTTTCAAAATCCAAAAATTTATTACTTTTCGGTTTCTCAAAAACTTTAAAACCTACTATTTTTGGTTTTTCAAAAATCTAAAGGCCAGATCTGTATTTTAAAAAAAAAAAAATGTTATGAAGTTGAAAAAATGGGTATACATGTAACAACGAAAACTTTGTGGTAATTTCATAATAATTTCAAATAAAATGGATATAGTTATTTTCTCTTAATTAAAGAATAAGAATTTAAATAAGGGAAAAGTTTATATAAGGTTGCAATTGAACTACGGATGCACCTCAAAAATCCATAGGTAAAGGTTGTTTTAATGTTGAAAAACCCTCTAATTAATCATCTCGACATCAAGATGTATGACTATGAAAGAAAAAAAAGGATTTTGAGTCCCAAAAATGGCGCATCTTACAGCACATTATCTAGACCATCGATTTTCAAGATTTTCATATCTTTATAGATCTACTTGATTTTAATCATTTTTGAAGTTTAAAATTTTATAATTAGATTTGAAAATAGATTTTGAGATAATCTTAAGAATATTTTGCATCAAAATTATATGTTAAGATAAAATTTGAAGGTGCGCCTTAAATGGATTGTTTAAAGTTGCAACCTTATGGAAACCACACCCTTTAAATAATAATAATTACTTAATAGGTCCAATTTTTGTAATGCCCAACAATTTAGGAAGTTTGAACTATCTGCTATTAGAAATACTGAGCAACATGGTTGTTCGGTGTTGCTAATACTGTACTGGCCCTTACTAATAGAGACTAGTAATAGAGACAGCCAAAAACTTGCAGGATTTTCCACCTATCCAATATTGGTACCACCGAGCAGGTGGGCATTTCTTCTTTTTTTTAAAAAAAGACGGTCCGGAGGGTGGGGGGTGTCTCTATGTAATTTTTGCAAAAATCAGACACTTATCATAATAAAGCCATTGAAAAGTTGACGATACATAATTTTTCTTTTAATGTATCTAAGCCAGACATCTTCAAATTGGGAGGAGTAAAACAAAACCAACATAAATTTTACAATAACAAAAACGAATTCGTACATACAACTTCATCCAGAATATATAATTACACGTCATTCACATTTTAAACATACATTCACATTCGAACAGGCGTAAGGGGCCTTACGCCTAAGTATATCAGTCACACAAAGATATAACCATCTCCAAATCGATGGCAAGTCCAACTCGATCAAACGTAACTAACCTAAGATCCTCCTCTACCATTTATAATCAACAGAAATCAGAACTTCAATCTCAATGAATTTTCTTCAAATTCCCAATTGCCTTATTGCACAGCCTCACCAACCCATCGTTCCTCCGCGTCAATGGCGATGAATACCCTGCCCTTTCTCCAAACCCCTTCTCGCAGGTATCGATTTCACCGACCACCATCGACACAGATTTCATCGCCTGTCCATACGACACCTTTCGAAGGCCATTTAGAGATGCTGAGAGCCTCTGAGCAGCATCGGAGTACAAGGATTCACAAATGCTTAGGCCTTTGACATAGAAAGGGTCATTTCCCATACGTTTTTTTAGCTGCGAGATGTGAAATGAGGTTTTTAAGGCAACAGCTAAGCCAGACCTAATGGCCGACTCGGCTCTTCGAGCAGGGTGACCAAAGTGGGTTCTTCTCAATGTGAAAGAGCTTGTAATGAGGCTCGTATGGGGGGCATGCTCATGTATGTGAAGCTCATAAGGGCGGTTTGTAATGGAAATGCCATGGTGGATGATTATTGTGAAGGATAAAGAAAACAAGAGCGCTTTCAGTGAAATGTGATAGAATCCTGTCATCTTTTTCTCTCGCTTTGTTGTGTGTCTTTTCTTTGATTTCCAAATTACCTGTACCATTTATATAGGATTGAAAGATTGGGCCATTAATCACTCATCATCTCATGGCTCGGATAATTTGAAGGCGTTGGAATCGTCGCAAGGGACCATAACAAGAGACTCGGCCTCATCTTGTGGGCGCTATTGCGAATACCCCTCTTTTATCTCCAATTTATCTGTTTTGACTCGGCCCTCCTTCCTCATTAGGCAGTTATCTAGGCGATAAATGAAAGTCGTTTTTATTAAGAAGATTTCCTACTTGTGGGGTATATAAGGGGCTGATCGGGTATCTGATAATCTATTGAAAATCTATTACTACGAAACCTATTATAACGAAATATGAAATTTAATAAAATAGAAATAAAGTACACAAGATCCCAAAATAGTAAAATCTATCGCGAATCCTAAAATACATAAAATTTATTGCGCTCAACGAATAATCTAACTATGTATGTCTTTTTGCCCAAAAAAAAATCGTCTATCTCTACTATTCTCTTTTTCTCTTGTGCCAATCCATTCTCCGTTATTCTCCCTCTCTCTTGGCTACATCATTTCCACTCTCTCTAAACTCCAAGAAAAATATTTTCGGTGGTAAGTTTACATCGAGACAAAAAATGATAAATTATATTTTATTTAAATTATAATTATTATTGAAAAAATTGATTTTTTGGGATTACAGTTTATATATAGATAAATAAGTGATAAATTATTTACAATATATTAGCTGTGTTTTTTTTTTTTACATTGGCCACCTCCAATATATCAATCTAATTTTTAAAATACTTTACCATTTCACAACAATTTTTTAAAAAAATACATCACCATTTATTATTTAAACTACAAATTAACGATTTTTAAAGGTTGTGACTAAAATAGTTCACTCAATGTTTACTACCATTATTAATTCACACTATTAAGTTATTATTTTCTGAGACATAACAAGCATAGTATAGTCATGTTATCTATATATATATATATATTTCAATATTAAATAGGAATGTCTACAAAGAGACCATTTATCTTTTGTGAATGGAAGTCACAATCATTCTCAAATATTAAATGTCAAATTGGATGGCTTGAGGTGAGTCATCAAGTGAATTGTTTTTTTGAAATTTTGTATTTATTCAATGACACTAGTACAACTACCCATTTTGAAATTTGAAAGACAAGAATGATTATGCGTACAAAAGATAAATGGTCTCTTTGTAGACGATTCCATATTAAATAGCTATATCTAATAAAAGTGATGTAAGGGAAAATTTAAATTGTAATGTACACAATTCCATATTAAACCGTATCAAATAAGAGTAATGTATTTCCCGGGTTGCATCTAAACACTCCCCAAACAGTAACAATCCATTTGCATGTATGTTCTTGGTAAGGTTTCTATGTGTCAGCCAACTCATATGTACACCTGTCTTTTTCTAAAATTTATTTTAAAGGTGCATTTTTTAACCATATTTTTAGCAATTAATAATCTAGGCTAAGGTGGTAGTGACTATAAAAAAAAATTTAAAATATGCTTCATCTTTAGGGATTTTTTGCACCATCTGGATGAGGTTTCTATAAGGCTTAGGCTTTATGAAAACAAAATAAACCCTCACCTCAAATCTTTGTTTGGAAAACACTTTCAGCAAAGAAAATCTCTATGATGGATCTAAAATAAATTTTCAAGACCAACCATAAAATTTGAAACTAAAAAAATGGTACAAATCTTGCAGATATGTGAATACTTATTTTTAGGGCGAAATGAACGGTGTAGATAATTTGGTATAATATACCCTATTTTTAGAGCTTGAAATCCTAAATTTTTTTTCACAACCATAATGTTAAAAAGTCAAGATGGTCGATATGAAGGGTTTTCAATGCTTGAATTACAATTTTGGATGAGTTATAAGGTGAAGCTTTACTTACTTTGATAGGGCTGCAACGTTATCAAACCATGTTCCTTAGTGGTTTGATCTGGCGCACTTTAAGTGACGTCCATCTTAAAGATGGACGGTCCAAGGTTAGCAAGCACAACTTTTCCTTATATTATAAGCTATTATAAATGAGGTGCAGCTTGTATAAGGTTGCAGCCTTATGTGTAGAAATAAGGTTGCGATACTTTACATTATTTTATTTAGACAATGTAAATTTGATATATAAATTTGACATATTTTTTGAGCCAGTGTCAACACATAGCACAAATTTTAAGATAGTGCTCAATCTATATTGTCTAAATAAAATAGATGGTGTAGATTAATACAATCTTATTTCTACAAATAAAGTCGTCACCTTATATAAACGTTTTCATTAAAAATGTTTCAACTTTTATACCTAATATTATATAAATAAGTTGCATGTCAAAAATCCAATAGAAAAGTATTTCAAAGTTGAAAAACCTTTCAATTGATCATCTCGATCTCGAGATATAAATAGTACTTAAAAATAAAAATAAAAAAGGTTCAAATTCTAAAAGTAGTGGGTCTTGTATCATGTTATTTGGAACGTCTTTTTTTAAATCTTATAACTATTGAATATAGATTTTCAAATCATCGTAACGTTTTCTGCACTAAAACTAATTTAGAGGTGTGTCTTAATTGTTTAGTACAAGGTGTGCACCAATACAAACCTCACCCATTCAAAAACAAAATGGAAAAGGAAAGAGTAAATCGTTTTTCCTCATATCATGGACTTTAGGGGGATCCAATGGTAGCATAATCGTTAATCTCCAAGGCAACGATAATGGGCCACCAACCAATGATTCATGATTAAAAGCATATATTATCACACTATTAATGCAACGCTTGTGCAACAAAATTCCGCAAAATGCTACCAAAGTCATTAGATAGAAATAAAAATAAAAATTTTGTTTTGGTTCCAGATTGAAGGTATTCAAAGACTACATGCGTTTGGTCTAGGGGTGGAAATCGGGTTGGTTAGACCCGATACTCGGCAAGTTGACCTGGTTCATGTCCGGGTTTGGTTCTAAGATTTGGACTCGGTGGGTCAGGTCCAGGTCCAAAACCCTAGATTCGAGTTGGATCCAGCTCCAAGTCAACCCATCACAACCCAACCC